ATCATTCCAGTCTCTCCTAGCCTGTAAAGTTTCTGTTGAGAAATCCGCTGAGAGCCTGATGGGAGTTCCTTTGTACATTATTTTTTGTTTTTGTCTAGCTGCCCTTAATATTGTTTCTTTGTCATTGACTCTAGCTAGCCTTACCACTAGGTGTCCTGGAGAGGGCCTTTGCCTGTTGATATATTTAGGTGACCTGTTGGCTTCGCTTACTGGTATTTCCTGCTCCTTCCCCAGTTTTGGGAAATTCTCAGCTATTATTTCCTTGAATAGGCTCTCTGTTCCTCTTTCCCTCTCTTCTCCCTCAGGAATACCTATAATTCTTATGTTACATTTCCTAATAGAGTCAGATATTTCTCGGAGACTTTCTTCATTTCTTTTTAGTCTTAGTTCTCTCTCCTCTTCCATCTGGAGCATATCTGTATTCCTATCCTCTAAAATGCTAATTCTTTCCTCCATATTGTCAGCTCTGTTCTTTAAAGATTCCAGATTCTCCTTTATCTCCTCCATTGTGTTCTTCATCTCCATCAGGACTGATTGGTTTTTCTTTATGATTTCAATCTCTTTTGTGAAGGAACTCCTAATCTCATGAATTGTTTGTCTGTGTTGTCTCGTATTTCGTTGAGTGTTTTTATGATAGCTATTTTGAAATCTCTGTCATTTACATTATGGATTTCTGTGTCTTCAGGGTTGGTTGCTGGGTACTTGTCATTTTCCTTCTGGTCTGGTGATTTCATGTATCTTTGCATTATGGTTCCTGTGTTGGCTTTGTTTTTCCTCATCCTGGAAATCTCTGGTTGCAATTTCCACCCGCTGCCACTGTGTGGTGGTAAAGTGCTGTGTAATCTAAGCCCCCTGTGCTCTGCCGGGGATTTTCATCTGCGATCTGCAGGTGGTATCGCTTGGTCTGGTCTCCTTGGCTGAGCTGCAGGGTCCGGTTTGCAGGATGGGGGGCTCTCTCTTTTGCCCTCTGGGTCCGTGGTGTGGGGGGCTTCTCGTTTGCCCCTCGTTATTCACTCTCTGGGGTGCTCAGATGTTGATGGTGGCCCTGTAGCTCTTCTGAGTCCTCTGTGTGGGAGTTTCCCACTGGCTGAGAGAGCCCAAAGAGCTACGGTTTCCCCGCAGAGGGCTGCCCCTCCCCCCTCTCTGGGAGCCACACGGACAGGCATCGCTGATCTGATGGGGAGGGAGAGGAGTTCTCCTTACCTCTCCCCACTTGCTTTGGGGGCCCAGCATGTTCTGCTCTCAGATGTGTGGCAGTGTGGATCTTTCTGCTCTAGCTTTTTACTGTCTGGGATTCCGTTGTTGGTCTGTGACTGTTTCTTTTGTTGTATCTTATCGGCGGAAGAGTTCACGGGAAAGCTCACTCTGCCATGACGCTAGAGAAGGAACATTTTAATGATGTTTTATTTGCCTGCCAGACTCTCTATTTCATTGTTTGCATTGTATGTACATGCCAGTCTGATTCACAGGGAGATAAATATTAAAGTACATCTAAAAACTGGTTACCTTTTAGTAAACATTCCCTTATTAGAGCAAAATATAAATAATGGCTTTACTCAGGAGCTTGGAATCAGAGAGCTTCAGGCTGGAAAGAACCTTGAAGTACTTTACCTCTTTAAACCTCACTATTTTCATCACTAAAGTGGTAGTAATAATAGGATCTACCTCTTAAGGTTGTGTGAGGATTAGAGCAGATAATGCACCAAAAGTGCTTTAATACTTGGCACCAAGGAATCTTTTAATAAATGGTGACCCGTGGGAAAGAAGGGAGTAATATACGTATGATATTAGAGACCTGATGTAACTTTCGGACCTTTATAGAAAAGCTTTTAAATAAATCTTTATATACTTGGTGTGTGTGTATGTATGTGATAATTATAACTATAATACATATATATACACACATTATATATATACACTATATATTTACACAATAATATATATACACACAATTGTTAAAATGATTTTCGTAAAAAAAAAAAAGGAGGGGCTGTCAAGTTTATTCTGAATAGAGAGAAGTAGCAGAGAGTGATCAAATGGCGATTTCTGCTGTAGAAATTGAAGTTGTAATTGTCCCAGGAGCGGATGTCTTCCAACACACTGGAGAATCCGTCTCATAGTTGTAGTAGTAGTAGTTGTAGTAATAGTAGTAGTATTGAGGCCTAGTAAGAAGTGGGGCAAGGATCTCCACTTGGAGTCTTAATTTTTTAATATTATAAAAACATTCCTCTCTCATAGTTCTATATCTTGTGGATGATAAGTTAATACCTATTAGTCTTTTGCAAGAAAGGTCAGTGAGCTTCAGGAGGTTTCATCTTGATTTGGGTTTGCTATGACACTATGTATTTTTAAATATATACAATTGCTGCAGCCTCTCTGGAAATTTAATGTGCTTTATAGACAGTCTTAAGTAGGGAAGAGTCAGTTTACCAAATCCACATTAAAATGAGGATTTGGCTTCCGGTATGATTTTGTTGTTTCAATGTGAAGATCATTTTTTAAAATGGCTGCCTTTAGTTTTCATTTTGTTGCTACAGATGTGTGACACATTTGTTGGAGGGAATGTCAAGAAAAGTATATTCTCAGATATGGTTAGGTCTGCACTGTTAATCATGTTTGGGGTTTGTACAATTTAAAAGATGGTCAGCTTAACATTAATTAGATTTCCTTGCTCTGAATTATGAGTCCTTGAATATCACTGTTTAAATATTTGATCTTTAATCGTTTGGATATATTTTAGAGTATTCCAGGGATGTGTGTCAGTGTGTTTGTTGCTTTGTGATAATTTCACATTAGGTTTTATTTGGGACTGTTAATCAGATAGAAGATAATTAAAATGTCTTTCAAAGCTTTGTTTCCAGTATTAGAGATTTTTTAAAAAATGGTTTTGAAACAAAAGTGAATAGTGATGATTTGAAGCAAAGTGGGTGGAGTGAATAAGACCTGGGATCTAATTTACATTAAAACATCTTAATTAACAAATACTTTAGTCCAGTGTTGATCCTAAAGTAGGAAGGGGCTCAGAGAATATGTGCGTGCAACTTGATTGATCCGACAAGTAAATATCTGCTTTGTGAAACTCCAGTGTTAACAATGTTAAGGATTTAGATGTGGATATTGAAGACTACTGTGAATTTTAACACATGCAATCAACTTATTGTATTCTAGCTGTACTTTAATTTCTAAATTGATTTAAAGTAAGCAGTATGGGTCTGAAGTCTGTCTGAAACAGCAGGAGATAGGAAAGTAATTACTGTTTGTAGTGGGGTGACTTGAAGCAGTAAATGCTTTAATTGGAAGTCAAATAGCTATCAAGAGATGACAGTTCATATTAGGTTCTCATAGTATGTACCTTTTTTGGAATGTAGAGAAAGTGCTTATTATGCAAAAGTTATCAGCTGAGGCTGATATTTTTGGAGAGAGAGAAAGGAGTTAAATTGTCTGATTCCAATGTAAAATAACGGATTTGGGCAACTCTGATCACTTAATATAACTTTTCTATGTAATACATTTGTGTGTGTAACTGTTCAGAAATTAAAGGCAAATGTTTTAGATCCTAAGATATATTACTGGATATTTCTTTAGGACAAATCTAGACTTTTCTGCCCTATTGAAAAACTGTTGTGGCCACCTAGACAAGTTCGTATAGTTCTAGCAAACAGAGCAGTAGGCTTAAGTATTTTTTTTGTAGTTCAATGACTTTTACTTCCTTGACAAGCAAGTTATGAAGATTAATTATAGAAATGAAGGGTGTTAGTGTAATAGTATAGTTTCATTTGAAAACCACAGTACATAAAATAGAGCCTGTTTTAAATGGGCTCTCTGTGTGTATAGGTGTGTGTGGGTAGAGTTTTCTGAGTTTAGGAAATATTTATATATAAAGAATACAGACCTATATTCTTACTATTGCTCAATTATGGTCCATATCTTAGACAGTTAATATCTATAATATGATAGAACTGTAGTTACTCTAAGAGACCTAATGACATTTGTGTCAGGGATATTTAATTGCTTTTCCCTGTCAGAGAAAGTAAATGCAGCTTGAAAAAAAAAGAGTTGTGATTATTGGTACACTGAGATAATATATGCTTGCATATGCCATTTTGATGCTGTGTTGGGGAATATTTTAGGTATGCTTTGGATAGGCAGATGGGGATTTTTAAGTACATAAAATGTAAATCAGACTGTTCAGTCAGATCATTTAACTTATATGGGAGAAGGAGGATGAACCATACTAGATTTTTACATACAGAAAAAATGTCAGCCTTTTAACATTCTCTTTTTGGCTAGTTAACAGCTTATGGGTAGGTGCAACCCTGGATTATTATTACTTGGGTTCCTCAGGATGTGAAAGTATTGACCAGAAGGAAATGTACCGGAAAATGGCAGAAAGATGTAGGGAATAAAGTATTTGATTGAAAAACAGGCAAAAGGAACAAATTATCAATAATTTGAGAAAGAGGTCTTGGAAATGAGCTTATGCGTTCTTGAAAGCAGTGGCAAAAGTAGAGGATTTGTTTGTACGATTCTCATTCCAAAAAGGATTAGAAACAAAGTAGTTGGGTTACTTATCTTGGTACTAAGCGTTTTAGATCAAGGTGAGTGAAGGGGAGAATGGGGAGAACCTGGTTTTCTTACTGCAAAGTTTTTCTCTTAACTTCAGCTGTGGGCTTGCTGCCATCTTCCAGGGGGAGCTTCGTTCGTTTCCTGTTTGAATAATATATACTTGGGCAGCTCAGTGGGAAACTGCATGATCTTTTCAATTCCTGTCTCTAAAGTTGGTATCAAGTAAGCATTTTGAATAATATTTATCAAGTCATTCCATTCAGGTTTCTATAGCCTAATGAAAAATATCTTGCCTCAATAATAGTCTGTACCTATAAGCTTTTTAAGCTTTTAGTATGTAATAGGTCTTAATATCAGTGTTAACTATGTGTATTAAGTAATATTTTACCTTAAAGCTCTAATCTAGACTAAAATTTATACTACTTTTTTTTTAGGACAGCCAGTAGAGGGGACTTCATGTTTTCTGCGGATCGTTTGGTAGGTGGAGGCTTTCCATTCTCATTTCATTGTTTCTAGTGATATAATCATAGAAGACCAAGGGGCTTTTTTGTTCGAGAGCATTCTGGGGGTGAGAGAGATTGTGCCAAGTAACCATCATCTTACCAGATTTCTGAAGTATTGTTTCTACTGTTGCATTAAAGCTTTGTCTCAATCCCTTTCACCTCAAAGCATTGACCGTGAACTCATTCTCTGAAGTTCTGAGGTAGTACTACCTCTCAAGTGGATCTTGGTAACTTGATCCTGAGCAACCCTTAAATGCCTCCTCATCTTAGGGCAGTGAAGTGAAGTACATTAAAAGAAACGAAACCTGTAAGGAGACCTAGTAGTTACCCTTGTGGTATCCATCTAATGCACAAAAACTAATACCTCTCTTGTAGTTTACATGGTGGGGGGTGGGTATTTATTTTGCCTCTTCTTTTCTATAGTATCCTTACATGTGAAATACTAAGTTGGACTCTCTATGCTTTCCTCAGGGACTTTCTGTTAAGGATTGACCAAGCCCAATTCTGTTTAGCTAGTGTTATCTGAGAGAATATCAGGCCAAATGGGGTTGTCTTCAGGATAAGCACTATGTATCCTTCTTGTGTTTATATCTAAGTGTACTCAGTGCTTGGAATGAGATTGACACATTTTCTTCTGTGGTTATTACTATTCATTCATTCATGAAATATATATTGAACTTATGTGAGTCAGGTACTGTTCTAGGCTGTGTTGCAGTGGGGAGGAGATAACAGTGGTAAAGAATACAGACATGATCCCTGATCTCATGGAGTTTGCACTCTAAATACTCTTATCAGTATTTAGTTTGGGAAAGAAAGAAAAATGGCTTATTAACCTCATGGGTATAATCAGATAGTCAAAGATAGATTATTAAAAAGAATGTGAGGGGGGAAAAAAAGGCATGAAATTTTTCATTTAGATATTCCCTCGGGAAAATCTTTATTCCAGAAGAGTGTGGACAACTCTTGTTCTACTTTTGGCTTTAAGTATTCTTCATTCAGAGGCCACTTTTATTTACAATTATTTGAGCTTCCAGGGGCAGTAATAACCCTTGGATTGCATCAAGATAAATGTAGTTGACATTCCTGGAGTGATAGGTCGTTCTCTCTTTATGCTTTTACCAAACCAAAGGAACAGATTCAAGGAGGAAGGAACTTGTGTTAATGGCTGCTGTGGGGAAAACAGAGATCTTGGTGTTCCCTGGTAGAAAATGGTTCCTCTTTCTTTCTTTTGCTTTCCTTGTGCCCTTTTTCTATAGAAAGTAGGAGTTGAGTTCATGGTTATTGTAAAATGCTTGCCTGAAAGGGTAGGCATTATATCTTAGTCAAGTGAGATAATAAGGTTCCAGGGCATAACTCACCTGAGAGGATGGTAATTTGGACCTCTCTGTTCTCTGTAGTTGGCTTTGAGGGTCCTGATATTGGAGGAAAGGTATTTGTGGAGGGTCTGTTGTGGTTGTGGTAGGGATTGAAGTTGTTTAGGTTTCTTTTTTTTTTTTTTTTTTTTT